ACCTCAGCCTCCCAAAGTGCTGGGATTACAGGACTGAGCCACTGGCCAGTCAGCTTGGATTTTTTTCATAGCTAGACCAGCATGTATTTTACATGTGTTTAAAAATGTGTATAGAAGATAACCATGACGTGGCAGTAATGCCACCCAGTTTTTGTTTGAGTATTAGGATATCTTGGAATCCATGTGGATCAAAACCAGGCTGGTCTCAAACTCCTGACTTCAAGCAATCCTCCTGCCTTGGCCTCCAAAGTGTTGTTGGGATTATAGGTGTGAGTTGAAATGCCCAGCTGAAACCTTTTTTTCCCAGTATAATTTTTTTGGTTTTTGAGACTGAGTCTTGCTCTGTTGCCCAGGCTAGGGTGCAGTGGCGTGATCTCGGCTCACTGCAATCTCTGCCTTCTGGGTTCAAGCAATTCTCCTGCCTCAGCTTCCTGAGTAGCTGAGATTACAGAAACCTGCCACCACACCTGGCTAATTTTTGTATTTTTAGTAGAGACGGGATTTTACCATCTTGGCCAGACTGGTCTCAAACTCTTGACTTCATGATCCACCCATCTTGGCATCCCAAAGTGCTAGGATTACAGGCGTGAGCCACCACACCCATCCCCAATACAATTTTAAATTTAATTGCAGCAAAATACACATAAACTTTACTATCTTAGCTATTTTAAAGGATACTGTCGCCGAAGATAAGCAAAGCGGACGTTAGTTAAAGCATAAAAACAAATTTTGTTCAGTAACTACTGCAGTAGGGGAAAGTGTTGAGCTCCATCTAGATGTGAAGTGACTTGCCATTTTAAAGGGAGAATGAGGGAGTGGGAGGAGAAGCAAACAGTGGCTTGAACAGAGCCAGAGCAGTGAAAAATTACAAAAGGCTGGTAGGAGGGTTGATCAGTACAGAAGCAATTCGGACAGCTGTATCTGCTAACCAGCAATTAGGCCCCTACTGTCCTGCAGAGGCTGGGGGATTGAGGCTCTAGTCTTCTTTTCAGGTCCTTGAAAAAGATTTTCCTAGGTTACACAGATCTACATATACATTTCAAAAGGAGAGAGGAGGCCGGGCCTAGGGGCTCACGCCTGTATTCTCAGAACTTTGGGAGACCAAGGCAGGTGAATCACCTGAGGTCAGGAGTTCAAGACCAGCCTGACCAGCATGGTGAAATCCCCATCTCTACTAAAAATACAAAATTAGCTGAGTGTGGTGGCAGGTGTCTGTAATCCCAGCTAGTTGGGAGGCTGAGGCAGGAGAATCGCTTGAATCTGGAAGGCAGAGGTTGCAGTGAGCCAAGATCACACCATTGCACTCCAGCCTGTGCAACAAGAGCGAAACTGTCTCAAAAAAAAAAAAAAAAAGAGAGAAGAGAGGGAAGATGTATTTACAATTGTAAACTTTTCTTTTTCTTTTTTTTTCAAAGTAAATGCACTAAGAAAGGGAGGTCAGAGGCCTGACCTGATGATATCAGGTGCCTGGAACAGTCAGATCAGTTGTCAGCCTTGAGATTTTCCAGACAGGAACTCAAGGGAGGCTGGATTTTCCCCGGGGTCAGGCTGTAGGCTGCTAGAAGCCATGTGAGAGTTCAGGCAAGGCTCTCAGGAGAGGGGTTTAGATGAAGTTTTTCTGGCTCAGGGTTTTTGTGGTTCTCACAAGACAGTGGCATTGAGTACATTCACACTGTCGTACAACCATCACTACCCTCCACTGCCAGAACTTTTTTTTTTAAAGATGGAATCTCATTCTGTCACCTAGGCTGGAGTACACTGGTACAATCTCAGGGCACTACAACCTCCACCTCTTGCGTTCAAGAGGTTCTCCTGCCTCAGCCTCCCAAGTAGCTGGGCTTACAGGTGCATGCCAATATACCTGGCTAATTTTTGTATTTGTATTAGAGATGGGATTTCCACGTTGGTCAGGCTGGTCTTGAACTCCTGACCTCAGGTGATCCACCCACCCCGACCTCCCAAAGTGTAAGGATTATAGGTGTGAGCCACTGCACCTGGCCCAGAACTTTTTCATCTTCTAAAAGTGAAACTGTGTACCCATTAAACAATAGCTCCCCATTCTTCCACCCCTAACCCCTGACAGCACCCATTCTGCTTTCTGTCTCTATGAATCTGACTATTCTAGGAACCTCATGTAAATAGAGTTGTACAGTATTTGTCCTTTTGTGATTGACCTATTTCACTGAGCATAATGCTCTCCAAGATTCGTCCATGTTGTAGACTGTAAGAATTTCCTTTCTTTTATAGCCTGAAACATTTCAATATTAGGTTTGAATATTGTAACTATCCATATGTAATACTCAGCTTGTTTTCATCTTCTGGTTACTGTGAAGAATGCTGCTGTGAACATCAGTGGACAAATATCTCTTCAAGACTCTGCTTTAAAAATTTTATTTTTCAGACAGGGTCTTGTTCTCTTGCCCAGGCTGGAGTGCCGTTGTGTGATCATGGGCTCAAGTGATCCTGCCACCTCAGCCTCCTGAGGAGCTGGGACCACTGGGGCACACTACCATGCTCAGCTAATTTTTCTCATTTTGTAGGGGAGGGGTCTCACTATGTTGCCCAGGCTGGTTTCCAACTCCTGGCTTCAAGAGATCCTCCTGCCTTGGTCTCCCAAAGTGCTACGGTTTATAGGCATGAGCCACTGCCGTGGGCCTGATGTAAATTTTATGTGATGTGTATTTTACCACAGTTTTTAAAACAAGGACATTCTGACACATACTATGACATGGATGAACCTCGAGGCCATTATGCTTAGTGAAATAAGCCAGACACAAAAGGACAAATATTATTGTTACACTTAGATCAGGTTCTTAAAGTAGTCAAACTTACAGAGACAGAAAGAAGGATGGTTGCCAAGGCACTGTGGGGAGGGGAGAAAGGGGACTTAGTGTTTTATGGAGACAGTTTCTGTCTGTGAAGAAGAAAAAATTCAGGAGATGGATTTTAGTGCTGGCTGCACAAAATTGTGGAAGTACTTAATGCCACTGAGCTGTGCAGTTAAAAATAGGTAAGATGAGCTGGGCACAGTGACTCATGCCTATAATCCCAGCACTTTGGGAGGCCAAGGCAGGCAGATGACCTGAGGTCGGGAGTTCGAGACCAATCTGACCAACAGGGAGAATCCCCATCTCTACTAAAAATACAAAATTAGCTGGGCTTGGTGGCACATGCCTGTAATCCCAGCTACTCCGAAGGCAGAGGCAGGAGAATCGCTTAAACCTGGGAGGCGGAGGTGGCAGTGAGACGAGATTGCACCACTGCCCTCCAGCCTGAACAAGAAGAGCAAAACTCCGTCTCGGGAGAAAAAAAAAGTTATGATGGTAAATTTTATATATGTAAAATTTATGTATGTAAAAATATGATACCACAATATTTTTAAAAAGACAACACAAATGATGGGAAAAGACAAGCTACGGACTAAGAGAAGACATCTGTTTGATTTTTATATCTATATTCATTTATTTATCCTGTCTGGAAACACAAGGTTTCTGGATCAGAAAACAGACCAATTGTTTGCTCGACTAGCAGTCTGATTAACAATTCCCCATGCCTCAGTTTCCCACAGGGCAGCACAGTGTGACCCAGAAATACCATGCACATACAGGCATCTGTACCACAGACAAGAGCTTGGAAATGATGCATCTCAGAGCACAGCCAGATGCTACTGGCACCTCTGTGCCTCCCTCCGCCTCTGGATGTGGAGGGAGAGATCTTTGATCTCCAATGCAAATACACAAATCCATTTGCGGGAAAGGGGAGGAAGATCTCTGGGATTTTACAGCTCTTTGGAATGCAAGGCAATTGTTGGGGGGCGGGGGAAGGAGGCATTCTTTATCTTTTTAGCATGTCACTCTCTGTGGCTCAGAAAGGTCCAGAAGTTTCAGGAACACTGAGAACTCTAGGGAGAATGACCGTCCAACAAGAACTACAACATATGTAACCAAAAAGGATTAATATATAATTAATTAGCTAATTTCTACAAATAAGGAGAAGATAAGCAATCCTATCAAAAATCGGATGAAATAATGTAAATTGGCACTTATAGAGGAAGAGAAGGCCGGGTGAGGTGGCTCACGTCTGTAATCCCAGTGCTGTGGGAGGTCTAGGTGGGTGGATCATGAGGTCAAGAGATAGACTATCCTGGTCGACATGGTGAAACCCTGTCTCTACTAAAAATACCAAAATTTGCTGGGCATGGTGGCATGCGCCTGTAGTCCCAACTACTCAGGAGACTGAGGCAGGAGAATTGCTTGAACCTGGGGAGCAGAGGTTGCAGCAAGCCAAGATCGTGCCACTGTACTCCAGCCTGGGTGACAGTGAGACCCTGTCTCAGAAAAAAAAAAAAAAAAAGGAGGAATTCCAAATAGCCAATAAACATTCAAAAACATTGCTAGACTTAGCAAGCAATTAGGGAAATGGAAACTTAAATTAAAATAGGTACCAATAAAATATTGAAATATTTTTCAATATTTAAAAAAAGACATGAAGTGTTACATTTCAGGTTATAGAAATTTGTGAAGAAAATGAAAGTATGATTCTATTTATATAAAAAGTCCAGAATAGGCAAATCTATAGCAATAGGAAGTGGATCAGTGATTACCTAAGGCAGGGGAGACTGTGGGAGAGAAGAGAGGAATTGTAAGTGGCAGCTAAGAGGAATAAAGTTTCTTTTGGGTGTAATGAAAATATTCTCCAATTGATTATGACACTCAACTCTGTGAATATACTAAAAGTCATTGAATTATACACCTTCAGTGGGTAAATTGTATGGTATATAAATTATATCTCAATAAAGCTGTTTTTAAAAAGTGGAGGAGGGACACCATTTATACAGCATGGTGGCATAGTTAATACTATATTGTATACTTGAAATTTGTTACAATAGATATTAAGTGTTCTCACCACACACACAAGGGCAACAATGTGAGCTGATGGATATATTAATTAGCTTGATAGTGGTAATCATTTATATATATATATATAAAATGATGCATACCTTAAATATAAACAATTTTTATTTGTCAAATATGCCTTGACAAAGTATAAAGGTGAAAAAAATTAAAAATAAAGAAATAAATAGGCCAGGCACAGTGGCTCATGCTTGTAATCCCAACATTTTGGGAGGCTGAGGCAAGCAGATCACTTGAGCTCAGGAGTTCTAGACCAGCCTGGGCAACATGGTAAAACCCTGTCTCTACAAAAAATACAAAAATTACCTGGATGTGGTGGTGTGCATCTGTAGTCCCAGCTACTTTGAGAGGATTGCTTGAGCGTGGGAGGTTGAGGCTGCAGTGAGCCGTGTTCATTCTTCAGCACTCCACTGGGCAACAGAGCAAGACCCTGCCAAAAAGAGAAAGAAAGAAAGAAAGAAGAGAGACACAGAGAGAGAGAGAGAAAGAAAGAGAAAGAAAGAAAGAAAGAAAGAAAGAAAGAAAGAAAGAAAGAAAGAAAGAAACATAAATGAGTAAAAGGGGTAGGGTTATCATTTCCTTTCCACTAGGCTACCAGAAAATAAAAAGTCTGACTATTCTAAGTATTGGTGAAGATGTGGAGAGATAGGAGATAGTTACTCTCCCCAGTGCTGGCAGATCTGTGAGTTGGCACATGTTGGAAGAGCAAATTAATTGGCAGCAGCACCTAGTTGAGTTAAAGATATGCCTACTTTGGTGTCCCAACAATTCCACTCCTAGGTAAGAAACTTGGGGACATGGGCACAGGGAGACATTTACAAGTATGTTCATGAACATCTTATTTTAAAGAGTGAAAAATTTAAGCAAAAACTTACTTATCTATTAGTGCATGCCTATTAATTATGTGGAGAGCAGAGATAATACTGTTTCCTTAGTTTGTACAGGCTTTTAAACCAGCGTGACTTTCTTTCCTCTTTACAGTGTTGTGATGTGCTAACATTAGCGTGGTTTGCAAATTAGACTCCAAAGAGTCAGAAATTTAAATACCCTTGAATAGGAGGATGAACAAGTAAATTGTTTTTCTTCATACAATGGATTACTAGTCAGCAAAGAAAAATGAATGAATTCGACTGGGTGCAGTGGCTCACACCTGTAACTCCAGTACTTTGGGAATCCAAGGCAGGTGGATCACTGGAGGTCAGGAGTTCCAGATCAGCCTGGCCAACATGGTGAAACCCCATCTCTACTAAAAACACAAAAATGAGCTAGGCATGATAGTGGGTGCCTGTAATCCCAGCTACTCTGGAGGCTGGCGCAGGAGAATCGCTTGACTCTGGAAGGCAGAGGTTGCCATGAGCCGAGATATCGCACCACTGCTCTGCAGCCTGGGCAACAGAGCAAGACCCCTTCTAAAAAAAAAAAAAAAAAAAAAAGAATGAACTAGAGTTGCATGTGTCAACATGGATACATCTCACAAACAATGTTGAGTGAAAAAAATCAAGTTTGCAAGTGGATGCATACAGTTTCTATAAAGACATGCAAAACAATAACATGTTTTTTATCATATAACATATGAAGAAATGGCATAAAATATGCAGGGGAATGATAAATAGCAAAGTCAAGATATAGTTAGCTCTGGAAAGAGGAAGAGAAAGAGGATTGGGGGAGCACCCAGAGAATATTAACAATACCTTCACAGGTTTGTTTCTTTTAAACAAATTAATGTTGATGTTTGATAAAGCTGGAACAGACATATTTGCAATACCAGCTGCACTTTTCAGCACAGGTGAAATATTTCCCAGTACTAAAGAACCAAGTGAAGTTTTATGTTGTCAGGCTGTAGGAGAGTCTGCGCAGAGAATGAAAATCTGCTGCACAGAGGAAGCCAGAGTCAAGGGAGCTGCTTACTCACCCCTCAGCCTCCTCCTGCTCTTCCACCCGCCTTAGGGTGGAACACGATGGATGAATTGACAGCCCCGTCTCATGGTCCTCACCATGCAGACTCATCTGGGGAGGTGCTCGTGGGCAGTAAGATGCTGCTGGATGCAAACTTTGTCCTCGTCATAGGGGCTGCACAGTTGGTGTCTGGACCAGAGCAGCACAACCAAGGCTCCTCCTTTGGTAATGGTTTCCTGTCCTGGACCTTGAGGTCTTCACTCTGGGGAGGCTCCTGTTTTGCCATTTACCCTGTTATTTAGAAAGTGTGCCTCAGAGCCTCAACTGCCTCTTAGCTTATAGGGTGATAGGCTGGAAGACTTAAAAACTGAGACTGCTTTGATGACTCTGGCATTCCTTGGGCATTGAGAAGCTGGTTATCAGTGTTGCCATGACAACTGCAGGGCCAATAAATAACATGGTGGAGGTGAAAGGTCATATCAGACACTAACTATATTGTAAAACCTCTTAGACGCCTGGACTATGTACTTGAGACACATTGGATGGTTGTTTTGAAAGGTAATTTTTCTTTTTGTTCCCAAATGATCTCCTATTAATTTTATTCTTTTTTCAGTCTATTGCATTGGAATGTTGCTTAGCAAACAATTATATCTGGCACTACTCTTTAAAGGAGAATGTCTATTAATTACATGGAGTGCAATCAGAGATAATACTGTCTCCCAGGTTAGTACAGGCTTTTAAACAAGCATGACCTTCTTACCTCTATACAGGGCTGTGATGTGCTAACATTAGGTGGTTTGCAAGACTCAAAAGAGTCAGAAGAATTAAACGCGGAATAATTAAAGGTGCAGAATAATTTAGTTAACAGAAAGCTGAAAGTGAGGGAAGAAACTGCCAGGCTCCAGATGTCATTTATCAAGAGGAGTATGGTCTACAGTTGGCTTCCTAGGTCCAGCTCCTTTCTACTCAAAGTGTGGTCCATAGACTAGCCGCAGTCTCTGAGAGATCAGAACCTCAGGCTCCTCCCAGACCGATTGGATCAGGTGCTGCAGTTTAGCAAGATCCCACGTGACTTTTATGCACATTTACATTTGAGAAACACTAAGTCTTACAACCTGAGTCAATGGTTTTCCAAAAGGGGGCTGGCCCTGTAAGAAATAAGACCTGAGAGATCAGATTCTCCTGGGAGTTTTTTAAATTTTTATTTTTTTAAGACGGGGTTTCATCATGTTGGTCAGGCTGGTCTTGAACTCCCGACCTCAGGTGATCCGCCCGCCTTGGCCTTCAAAGTGCTTGGGTTACGGGCGTGAGCCACCGCGTCCGGCCCTCCTGGGAGAGTTAAGGAGGAAAAGCTTTGCTAAAAGCCGCCAGAACTTGGACTGTCTGGGCTGTCTGGAAGTAGTGGGTTGCTGTTTGTTGATCATATTTTGTACTGAATTGTTAATGTTTCCCCTACTCATTGAAAATATGAGCTGAATTCCAGAAAATAACAGGTAGAAGGATGGGGATGGAAGGGTTAAAAAATAACATGGACGTCCTGAGTTCTTGTAGGACCATCCCTTTGCAAGATACTTATCATGACATTGGCCCCCAATGTGCCACGGTTTTCTCAACTTTGACAAGCCGGGATCACTTCCTCGGGCCTGCAGGAGGTTCCCAAGTCAGTGCTTCTAAGGGGCTCCGAGAGCCTCGGGTGAACGTCACGGCGCATGCGCGAGGGCTTATCAGGATAGCGCTGTGAGTTCCAAGCGAGCTCCTAATTCCGCAGCCTACCAGCAGTTGGGAAGCAGTGTGCCCATTTTTATCTCAGCACCTGGCTTCTACAGAGGAAGGGATGGGGAGGGCATAGCGAGAGGGAGGAGGAGAGATAAAGCAGCTTGGTGCAGGGGTGAGTCAGAGCCCGGACACTCCAACCCACGGCTGCAAAGAGCGTGAGTTTCCCACGCCCCTGTTCTGCTGTGAGGGGGGACCGCGTATCCAGTAATTGCAGAATGACATTATTAAACAGCAGGTTGGCTGTCACACAAGTGTCAACACATAGCTATGGAGGTGAGTAAATGACTATGACTCTCAAAGTAATTTTTAGACACAAGCACAAAATAAAATGTCTGTGAATTAGACTATTACAGAATCTCCTCGAGGAAATTCTCAAGCAGAATCTCTGCTTGCAAATGTGCAGCTCCCAGAGCAAAACCTATCACAGGTGTGCCTGGTGTAAGGCCGTCCAATGAGACACACTTGAACTTCACACAGAATGGTTGAAGGAGAAGGTGGGATTCTTCACATTAGACAGGAGACTTTGGACCATGCACAGTAGCTCACGCCTGTAATCCCAGCACTTTGGGAGACTGAGGCGGGTGGATCACCTGAGGTCAGGAGTTTGAGACCAGCCTGGTCAACATGGTGAAACCCTGTTTCTACTAAAATTACAAAAAGTAATTAGCCGGGTGTGTTGATGCGTGCCTGTAATCCCAGCTACTAAGGAGGCTAAGGCAGAATTGCTTGAACCTGGGAGGCAGAGGTTGCAGCAAGTGATCACTCCATTGCATTCCAGCTTGGGCAAAAAGAGAGAAACTTCATCTCAAAAAAAAAAAAAGAAATTAAAAAAGAAAAGACAAGAGACTGCTTCACAAGCGGGACTAGTTCTGGGTTCTTGTTCTTCAGGGAAATAGACACATAACATAAGATTTACCATCTTAACCATTTTAAGTGTACAATTGAGTAATGTTAAGTGCATGTGCCTTGTTGTGCAAGCATCATCACCATACATCTGCAGAAATTCTTCATCTTCCCAAACTGAAACTGCATTCCCCTCCCCACAGCCCTTGGTAACCCCCATTTTGCTTTCTGTTTCTGTGAATTTGCCTATTTTGGGCAGCTCCTATAAGCAGAATGCTATTGTATGTTGCAGTTGGCTTGTTTCACTCAGCATATATCCTCAAGGTTCATACATGTGTCAGAATTACCTTCCTTTGTAAGGCCAAATGACTAGATTCCATGAGGCATATGTACCACATTTTGTTCATTTATCTGTTGGTAGACATTTGGGTTGCTTCCACATTTTAGCTACCATGAATAATGCTGCGTGTATATGGTGTATAGAAAGTGTGTGTTTTAGTTCCTGCTTTCAATTATTTGGGGTTTATACCCAGAAATGAAATTGCTAAATCAAAAGGTAATTTTATTTTTTTAAGGCAGGGTCTCACACTGTCACCCAGGCCTGAGTGTGCAATGGCTCAATCCTGGTTCCTTGCAGCCTTGACCTGTGCTCAAGTGGTCTTTCTACCTCAGCCTCCCAAGTGGCTGGGACTACAGGTGCATGCCACCATACCCAGCTATTTTTTTTTTTTAGGGATAGGATCTTGCCATGTTGTCCAGGATGATCTTGAACTCCTGGCTTCAAGTGATCTTCCTGCCTTGACCTCCCAAAGTGGTGGGATTACAGGCATGAGCCACCATGCCTGGCCTGATAATTCTGTTTTTAATTTTTTGAGGAATCACTATACTGTTTTAGTTCCAATTTTTCCATATCCTCATCAACACTTATTATTTTCTGTTTGCTTTGTTTTGGATTTTGCTAGTAGCTATCCTAATGAATGTTATTGAGAAGTGCCTGAGTTCTTTGTTTTTGAGACAGAGTCTTGCTCTGTTGCCCAGGCTGAGGTACAGTGGCACGATCTTGGCTCACTGCAACCTCCACCTCCCAGGTTCAAGCAATTCTCATGCCTCAGCCTCCCGAGTAGCTGGGACCACAGATGTGTCCCACCACACCCAGCTAATTTTTGTATTTTTTGTAGAGATAGGGTTTTGCCCTGTTGCCAACTCTGGTCTCGAACTTCTGGCCTTAAGCGATCCACCTGCCCTAGCCTTCCAAAGTGCTGGGATTACAAATGGGAGCCACCATGCCTGGCCATGGCTGGGTTCTTTTAAATACCAATGTTTAAAAATAGAATTGTTCTATGAAAAACAATGTAGTCCCAAAATTTTGCTAGAATAAACAATATAGTAAAACATGTATAATTTCCTAGTTATACTTTAAAGGTAGGATGTAGCTTAAGGTGCAGAAATGAAGTTAATTATTCTTCCTCATTCAGGTTAGCCTCATCGGGAGTCTAGCAGGGCCCTGCCCCTCCTCCGTTTCCAGTGCCTGTTCCGTTCTTTCTCACCACAGACACTCAATGTAATGTGGCTGCTGAGATATTAACACAGGGTTACCATCAGTAATCTCAATTGTCCTCAAAACCCTTGGAAAATAGGTCTTTGTTAACAATCTCACTGTTCCTCGGTTTCTCTTCTCCTCAAGCCACTGTGCTACGATTGAAAGATTTCGCTCTTCATGGCTTACAGGAAAGTTAAGGGAGTATGTTTTGCTCCAGAAGCCACGTGAAAATATCTGATAACCAAGAATTTCTAGAATTGTAATGGGAGAGTGGGGTGTGGGGGAACAACCCCAGTTCAAAAGAGAAAAAACAATCCAAAGGCTGGGCACTGTGGCTCATGCCTATAATCCCAGCACTTTGGGAGGCCAAGGTGGGTGGATCACCTGAGGTCAGGAATTTGATTCCAACCTGGCCAACATGGTGAAATCCTGTCTCTACTAAAAATACAAAAATTAGCCGAGTGTGGTGGTGTATGCTTGTAGTCCCAGCTACTTGGGAGGCTGAGGCAGGAGAATCACTTGAACCTGGGAGGTAGACGTTGCAGTGAGCGAAGATCGTGCCACTGCACTCCAGCCTGGGTGACAGAGGGAGACCCCACATTAAAAAAAAAAAAAATGGAGAGGTGGGGCAAAATAACATGGTAGAAATGAATACAGACATGTCAATAAATGAACTAAATTCACCAGTAAAATAAACAAAGATTATTAGTCGGTAAAAGAGAGCCAGATAAATGCTGCAGTTCCTGCCTGCCTGAAGGCCGGAGAAACTTTTCCAGTTGGGTTAGGGGAAGTAAGAGAGAGACTGAGGGTATTGTGAGGGCTACCCAGCTCTCCACTGTTTTGAATGTGGAAAGAAATAAAAAAGCAAAAGGAAAAATACATATATGAAAAAAAGAAGAATGACTTTGCTCTTGAATTCTCAAGAGCAATGGAACTGAATCTCAGGGCGGGCATCTACAGGCTGATGTGTGCAGTGACTGAAGTCCCATTGAAGGCATGTGGGGCAATAGGAGCCATAGAGAGGGACCTACTTCTGTTCACCAGGGAACTGAGAGCTCAGAGGTGGTTCCTCGCGAGAAGTGACTCCTAAGCCGAGTCCTGAAGATCAGTGTGAGTGGGCCAGGCAGAGGAGAAAGGGAGGAGGAGCATGTGCAAAGGCCCAGTGCCAAGAGAGAGCCCAATTTGTGGGAAGAACCAAGAATCACTCAGCAGCGCTGGAGTTGAGTGTCAGTGAGG